CTACAGGATACGCAAAGTTCATCACCTCAATAAAAGGAATTACGGAAGGAGAGTACGACTTGCGAAGTGTTTGAGAAGTAGAAATAGGGAAGTTAAAAATATATCTAAAAAAAATATATGGACGGACGAATCAAAATTCACCAACAATGGTTGGTTTAACAGAAATATCCATTATAGCTGGAATGATACAAATGAACATTTACATAGGAAAACCAATTTCCAAGAAAGGTTCAGAATAAATGTTTGGTTTGGAATTGTGGGAACAAACATCCTTGGCCCTTTCTTTTACGATGATCATCTGAATAGTGAAAGGTATATTCATTTCTCTTTTAATGTATTCGATGGCTACTTAGATGAATTGCCACTGAATATCCGCCATGAAAATACAACATTTTCAACAGGACGGCGCTCCTCCTCATAATGCAGCAATAGTAAGGGAACATTTAGATGCAATATTACTAAGAAAATAGATTGGAAACAATGGACTAATTAACTGGCCTGCTCGATCCCCAGATCTTACTACCACGAAGTATAGATATAGACCATCGCAAATAAAAAATAAGAGATGCATGTATTAGAATAACACCTATTATTATTTCCACAGAAATTGTCTTGACCAACAACTTATGTGCATTCAATAAAAAGGTCGTCAATTCGAACATTTAATGTAGATTGCCATGCAGCTTTGATTTTCCGTATTGGTTTCATTTTTCCTAAAAGTTCATGATAAAATGAATGGTTTTTCTGTTTGATTGTTGTCACTGATGATGGTGATTATTTCAAATGAAACGCTATAAAAATATCTAATGTGATATACCCTTGGATTGTGAATGTATCGCTATATCAATATCTGTAATAAAAAAGACAGATCCGTATTTAAAAAAAAGTTGATGATTGGCATGTTGACACGAAACTTTTTATCGAATATATATTATCACATCGTCATAGTACACTTCGAATACAATTACATTTTCCTTTTCCATTGTTTGGTATTCTACGAAATAACAATTTCATTCGAAAAAAACGAAAAACAGCATTTTTGGTTTTCCCGTATAACTCGAGAAGGGCGAGAGTCCCTGTAAATTTCCTTCAACCGTTGTATTGTTCCCGTCTTCATACCTATTACGGTTTAGAATATAGCAATGTTACCACATGATGAAAGAAACGGCCTGTATATCCATTTTGAGAATCTGCAAATGAATGACTTGTGTTGTACTGTTTGGAACGTTTGGTGTAGTAATGAATATTACTGGAGTTTTATCCCACTACCAAACCGTTTTTTTAACACCTCGACACGTGTTTTAATCACCAAGTGATCATCTTCAAGAGGAAGGTTGAACGACTGATAAACATAATGATTTCAAGAGAAAATGCATCCCTGACTCACTCCAGTTTATTTCAATAAAAATTCAAAATGTTCAACATTCGCTTTCTTACAATAGTAAGGTCTTGTTATTTTGATTTTGTTGCAAAACATCTATTTTTATATCCACAAGTTCCTAAAGAAATTGCATTTATACATTGCACATTTCTGAGAATACATACACCCTCAAAAATATTTAGAGGCGACATATCAGAAGATCTAGAAGGCCTTTTTGAAGGACCACGAGTGCCTATCGATCGGTTTGCCTTTCAAACCAGCATTTCGTAATAAGAATATAGCTCATTTTGCTGAAATGTAACATCAGTTGAAAAATGATTTGGGTTCGTCAAACATCTCAAACGGTAGATAAGCAGATGTGGTTTCCCAATTTAGCTCACTGGATTACCTGATATGGCGCCTGTCGATATTTTTGAAGGGGATAAAAAGAAATATTTCATAATGTGAGAAATAAATATGTAAACAAACATTATTTTTGTGAGAAAGGAAATGATGGAAATATTGAACATTTAATAGAATATATTGAAGTGAATCATGCGGACTTTGATATCTTGTTCCGTTCTAAAGTTGAGATGGTGGGTGACTATTTACGTCCGCACTGTATACATACTAAAACTTGTTCACATTTATATTTGAGAGCAGATCATTTCGTGATTGAAAAAACGATTTATGAAAAATTTGCAACGGTTTGAATTACTGTGAATCCTACTCAAAAATATTCGGTTGTTCAAATTCTCGAAACTACAAAAATCTGATAACATTCATTGAGTATATTTGGATACCCCTCGATGCAAGAAATGTTCTTTTGTAACGTCATAGTTTAGAACACACTGTATTTGTTGTTTTTTGTGATCATTGACTATCATTCATGCTGAGTGAGTTTGAAAAAGATATTTTCCAAATAAAATTTTTTGTTAACCAGCTGTCGTCCCCTACGAGTGACAACCCTCAAAAGTCGAAACTTGGGATTAACGAGGTCTTGCCTTCAACGTCTTATCTCGCTCGTGCTCGATCTGAAGAAAGGACTACTTCTCAAACTGAATGAACAAAACAATGATATTTTGTAAGCATTGAAATCTTTCTCTCTTTTGATATCTTCGAAAAAGTCTAAGCAATATGTTAGCTTAGCTAAACGGGTATCATTACAGAGTTTCATGAGAAACTTGTCAGTTTGTCATTTATAAATGAAATGATAATTTGAAAAAATCGCTTACAGGAGTTTTCACAGAAAATCTGTGGAGTTTCATTTTACTTTTCATTATGAATTATTTCTTATTCTATTCACTTCACCATTCATTTATTGAAATCGAATGTTTCATTCATTTGTTTGACATATTTATGTAGAATGACAAAGAAAGAAATGTATTGTTTGATGAAATTTGTACGAAGCTGGAAGTTCATGGAAAATGTTGCAACAGTTAATATTTCTATTCTTGAAATGTAAAAATGTCAGTTTGAGTCTCAGTGTAAATGAAATACAGTATAAATGAAATTTTATTCAATTTATCGTTTCATATTCATCAGGCAAATATTTATCGATAGCTCAGCTGTGCCTCTTTTCAATTATCATTTCATTTTTAGAGACAAGAAGATCTTTGAAAAAACAATTTTTTTAGATTTCCTTGTTTCATCGGTAATAATGAGTAGGTGTTCGATTCATTTACGATTCTCAAATTCAGTTGTCGAATGGCAGATCAGTTCAGGATGGGCAGTTTTCTTTTTCAAAAATAATCGTTGGATTCAATGATCAATATATATAATCCCTTAGTCTCTAGAAAGATTGTTTTTGCTTTTCTATCTGTAATTCAATTATTGTTTTCTGGTAAATACTATACACATACTGATAGAGAATACTTTCACCAAAAGAAAGTTGAAATTTGATTCACTTGCTCAAAGACCTACCTCACAAGACGAAAACAAACCACTTCAGTTACTTGCAAAATAGAAAAAAATAAACGAGTTACAGTAATCTTCCCTAAATTCTACTAAGTTTTGCACTATTTTACCGCCGACTATTATGAGAATGACTCTTGATATCATCAATAATAACTGCATTCTGCAGTTTTGGCCAAATTCTGTAACTTGTCAATAACCTATGCTTGATTAGATAAAGAATATTGAATTAACAGATCCAAGAAAGAGCAGATCTTTTTTCATAACAAAATTGAAATATCTCAAGTCTAAATAATTAACAGGAATGCATTCTGCAGTTTTGCGGCAAATTCAGTAACTTGTCAATAACCTATGCTTGACCAGATATTGAACATTGAATTAGCAGATTCAAGAAAAAGCAAATCTTTTTTTATAACCAATTTAAACAATAATTAATTGTGAAATTGATCACCTTCGTATCTATTGTTGCTTTCATTCTACAATTTAGTGTCTTCAAAAACGTCACATAGTTGAGTAAACTGTACATATCTTTCTTATTCAAATTAGTTCGATAGATTTGTCGGTCCTAATAAGTACTGACTTTCAATTTCTTATCAAATGAATATATGCTCAATCCCTAAGTGAATCAATGAGGCTGTAGTAAGCTGGACTACCTCAAATTACTTCAAAACTCAATCGACAACTGAACTCTTGATACACTGTATATTCTATCAATACCACACTGAATGATGGACGTGTGATTCACGATTCAACATTCAAAAATACGGTCTGGTTAACTTCCTCATTAAATGAATCGACCACTCCATTCTCAAGATAACTAATATATATTTACCTAACACTCAGAGTCAGAGAACACATCCAGAAGCATATGGTTATTGTTATCCAGAGATTTCGTAAAGACCTGCACATAAAACGGCGGACATATCTTTGGATTAGTAGCGTTGACGTCATTCAGTTGGAGCCAGATAAAGCGGAAACACTTTTTATTGCACTCGGAAAATGGCCAGCCATGCTGAATAGCAATTGGACACTTTTTGGTAAGCGAGAATAACTTCTAGCGCATGCTTTGGATGTAATGTGAATACAGATGCATAGTTCGATATTTTTCATCATCTTGAATAGTGTGTAAAAATTATATTCCGAACTCTCATATACATAATTTCTCCATCTCCACATTTAGACATTTAGCAGAGATAGGAACGGTTAGGAAGCTCAAAGACAAAAGATATAATGATAGGTCTACAAGTTCTACCTCAGACTAGATTTGTTTGTAGAGCTGGAGATTTCCAAAGAACTTTCTAATAATGATTACTGCTTGGATACTCCAGTAAACTTATACAGAGATTTACTTTCCCGCCATAAACGGATTATGAATTGCAATTTAAGGAATTGAAAATTTATTATTTAAACATATAATTTTATATTGTCTTCTCCACAACTATTTTTTTTCCATAGTGGATTATTCCTCATGTTGGTACTACTATTTTTCAACATGACACTTGACTTGACACATTCTGTCGTAAGTTGCCCTTCATTCATATAATACTTTAACGATCCACATGGCCACAATCTCTAACATGTATTTCGTTGGTTATTAGACTAATTCGTTTTATATAAATCAAATCTTATAAATCTACTATGTACTCATTTTCTATACTTCCTGTTGTCTAACAAGTAAGTATTTATAAATAATTTTTCCTTAATTCCAAAAAATTTAATTTTCACAAAAAACTTTCTTTTCAATTAGATCAGTTGGTTTTAGGTGAGCACTAATGATGACGAAAGTTGAAAACGCTTTGCAATAAGAATTTATGATTATTCACTTTTATATAAAAACTCATTCATTCATTCAATAAGAGTATTCATCTTCCCAAACCTATTAATATTGTGAATATCATCTAATTTTAAACTGAAAAATGGAATTCGGACAAAGTATGTCATTTGGCCAAAAAATTAGAGCATTTCGTGTGAAGGTCATGTTCATGGTCCTAATTATACTTTTGTATTTTACTCATAAGTCATGCTCAAATTGGAAGGGCTATAATTTTAGAAAATACATTTTCCATTTTTCATAGAGATGAGAAAGTAGAAAGCCCGAAACCTTTCTTTCTCATAGTTCTCATAGTTATTCCACAAAAGTATGCGAGAATAACAGAAATGACATTCGAAAGTGTACTTTTATATAATAGTGGAAGTAGTATGAAATATACTTATATAGAATACATACGAATGAAAAGATGAATGAATTAAATCATTTTCACTCGAAGGAAATCAGGAGACAGACTTCACAAGATTATTGGCAGATACGATAAGACGAAAAGATCTACAACTGGAGGAAGGAAATATTTTCTGGAGCTGCAATGCATGATTAAAGGCTTAAAATAGTACAACTAGACAACTACAAGTCGTCAATAATACCAACAGAAATACACAAATTGTCATTTGAAAGACTCCAAACTTTGCCATTACGCAAACAGTTTTGCACAGATCTCAATCAGAATATCTAATATTGATATCTTTCAGTAAACAAGCCTTTTGTTCTCTATGGACTGCTGAAGATTCCTATTTCTTTTCAGAGATATTTTTGCTGGGATTAGTTCAGCTTTTCAAAGTATTTTGTCAAGATTGTGAATAAAATCGCAGTCATATACAGAGACAACTCGTCAGTTTCATTATTGGGAGATATCAACCATAACCTTCCTGTGGGAGACTTTGAAAAAGTCATCTTCGAGGATTGATAAAGAAATTACCACTCGAACAAATCATAAACTTGTTTGAGTGTCATATCTGAAAATGATACTTTACATAAGACTTTTTCACGCAAGCCATTAGTCTGCTAATAAAAACACTAGTGTGACTGTTAACAACAATTAAAAAGATCTCATCAATAGGAATTATATCTCCAGAAAACGAGTAGACCAAATATTGGACAGATGACAGGACGACACAGGGGGGAAAAAACCTAACAAAACACCTAAAGAGCAACAGTAAATATCTGGGAAGCCATACAACGAAAGCTCAACTAGGCTAAAGACAAAGAGGAACGTGAGAGGATGAAAAAATCAGAGAAGACTCGTATACACTAAAGAAAATATCACAAAAATCACATATGTATGAAAACCGATTCACGAATTATAAAAGAGAAACATCACCCTGTAAATTGTGTCACATCGGTGACAGTATCATGTCAGTGATCAATTGACTTATCGATATATTTTTTCACTATTTTGAGTATTGATATTGTTTTAATAGCCGTGATTTTCATGTCGACCTCATGATTGAGTAATTAAAATTTTCAACTTTTAATTTTCATTTCAGTTTGTTTTTCTACAGATTCGGTTTTTGGATTTTCCAATATTTTACCTAATATTACCCCAACAATTTGTTGCATAGTTTAAATTTCTTCAATTTTACTGTTTTCTCGATAAATATTTTTAAACAACAGAAATTCGAAAATTCTTTATTTGAAAAACAAGCTTCTATCATTTTATAGAACTTTTGGCTAAGAGCTATTAGACTGGAATATGTGGACATTTGAAAAAAGTGATTGTTACAAGAAATTGGTTACACAAAAACGTCATACTATGATACACAATTGAGAAATGAATATTACATAAATAGTGAATAACATGAACAGTGAATTTAACATTATATTTGTTTTTTTTTAGGAAACCAGCCGCTCAGTCCATTATGTAGAAGAAATTTTAAACAATTTTTCATCTACATGAGAAATAAACTGTCGCTTCTTGAACAGATTCTCGAAATCATTCATCATTTGTTTTTTTATAGGAGAGCAAAATAGTTTTCGGAAAGGAACGAAAAGTTGAAAATAGTACTTCATGTCATGAAGAAATGCAATTTACAATTATGTACCTGATAGTTATTGCAGTGGATGAAAAAGTATATATAAAATAAAATGGGTGTGGCAAACGATGTGATGAATTAGGTTATAATATACGAAATTTTAGCAAGCTGCAGCCAACAGTAATACATCACAAAAAATACAAATTTCTTAAAAGATACCTGCGGCATCGTCATGTGGGGAGGTGTTTGTTGTTGGCCTGGTTTTTCACCCTGTAGATGAGCCACCAATGCTGCTATATGGTCCAGTAACTCACGATTATGAATCAATAGCTGATGAGTTCTCGCTTGAGCTTCCAGTCTTGCACTCTAACATAAAAAAAAAAGATCAATATTTGTTAAAAAAAGCATGTATTTAAAAAAAAAACTTCGTACAACCAATAGAGGACTAACTAACACGTTACATAACGAAAATATCCATAACCGTTCAAAATAAAATTTCCTAAAAATGGAGCCCATTTAAATTCATTGGAGTCAACTCCAACTCTTACTTCTAGCCACACATCAATCATTTCTTGAGTATAAATTGAAAAAAAAAATTGTGTGAATACAAAGACCTTCTTTAGATATAATTTCATTAACTTATCGACTGTGCTTGCATAATATCCATTTCTTGTTCAAGAGGACATATCTGAGAGTAGTGGTATTTTTGCCATGTATACATTGAATTAAGAGTTTTTTTTTTTTATTGAAGTATTATACTCTCACAATTGTTGCGAACCTCCACACTAAACTAACTGAATGTGTCATTGTTGAATATGTACGCCGATTCCTCACACTTTATTTTCAACCAGTGTTGCTCCCTGTCAATGATTTCAGCTTCGTGCCATAAGCTGTTATATTGGTGGGATCAAATGGACTTTTGGAAGGCAGGAAACGTTAAAATACTAGTTGATCATGCATTGAATCACTGAAATAGAAAGAGAAGTTTCGACAAAGAATTGGGCCACATCAGGAAATATTTTCCATGGAATGACTACTCCAAGAAGCTTCGTTTTTTTTCTTCTTCTGGACTTCCAATCTATTAACACGTTGGCGAATACTGGAAATCTGAACCTTTGGCATTCACCATGAAACATTATTAACGACATTTGAACAAACGAAAGAAAGGTAAGTGACAAACGTGCCGCCAACTATTGAGCCTTACATTTTCTGCTGACGCATGAGCAACAGTAAAGTTGCCAAGAGACAGATCCGTCTGGAAAGGAAAATTGATACGTCTAATCAAGGAAAAGGACAATTGTGTGACTGATTGCGAATCCATGTGAGGAAAAGTCGCTAAGCATTCAACACTAAATTGTGAAGATGAGCATGAATAAGAAGTACATAACTTCCACACTTATATCAAAATGGTGCAATTATTTGTCTGAATTATTTGTTGGGAATTGATGATTCAAGAATTTCTCAAGTTTTCTGATAAAGCATGCCTAATATAATATATGCATAAAAAGATAAATATCAAAACACAACAAACACAAGGGGTTATTTGACTATTGATTTCAGAAACTTAGCGTGATGATAATCACCATAATGATACATCCATATCCGTTTCATTTATCCAAATAAATGGCATGATACCTCGATGTGAGCTCAAAACCTTGGATCTTAGAAGCGATCAGGGGCCAGACGACAGAGGGTATAACAAGTCATCTTTTTTTTGTATACTTCTTCCTTTTTCAAATTTAATGCAGTAGATATTGAAAAAACATAAGTCAACTTGAAGACATTTACTTTTTATACACTTTTAAATGCCATTTTTTGTAGGAAAAAATGAGTGATGGAAACATAGCTCGATGACTTTAACAAATATTCGAAATTGTGACATTTTGTATTCCTGGAGGTTTTGTTCAATCGGTTTTGGTCGTTCTGAAGCATTTCTTTTATTATGTTAGGATACTCAGCAATGATTCGTTGATTTATAGCATTTAGAGATGCTGGTTGAATTTTAATAATTAAAATCTCAAGGTGATCCCACTAAAAATCGAACGATCTTCAGTCGGATGATTTTGTGGGCCCTCTACTAATACTCTACGACTGAAACCACGTAAAAATTCTTTCAAATTATGACAAAGCGCAAAGGTAATAGAAGAAGATATCCTATTTTGTTGAAATATAAACTTACTTTGATTTAAACGGTCACTAAGATGTTCAAAAATGTGTGTCAATGCGGGAATAGCAGAGTTTTGTGATGATTGTCAGTATATTCCTCCGGAAAAATTTTTTGGTGGAAAGAAAGGACCAACAGCTTCTTATAATGTTGGGTGTCCACTTGGATCGAGTTTTCGTCAGCTTAATATCGACGATTATGATCTTGTAAATCGCCTGATACTGTACATATGATCGAAATTATCGTTTCTTACAACCCTAACTCTCATTGCTTTGAGTTTCATTATTATATTTTGAGTAATAATTCTTTGTTTGCCATCAAACCTGCTTCTACAAATTTTGCTACGAACTCAGTAATAAATTTCTGGTTGAAATCTCATCTGGATTTTGTCCGTTGAACAATGGTGTTAGAATATTAGTGCACCTACCGTTTTCTTAGTAAAGTTGAATCATTGTGAGTAGAATAATAAGATAAAATAATTACAGTCGAAATACTGTGGGATACAAAATGTAAATTATCCATTTCTTTTATTCTCAATGAAAGATAGCTGAAACGGCGATCAGTTTTCAATTACAAACATTGAACCCCGAATAATTAATTGTGAACTATTGAGTGGAGTACAAAAAACCGGACTAGCTGCATGATAGAATATTAGTTCTGAAAGCATAGTTATATAACACATATTTTTGTCAGAATAATCTTAATATCTACTGTATTGACACCTCATGCCATTTGAGATTCGAAGGTTGGATCTGATCCCACCAAAAGGATGAATGTAATAGAATTGAAAGTATGATTTATAGATTTTCGTCTTGAGATGGAAATCGACAAATCTGTAAGATATATTTTCTGAACGCCTCGTGTCGACATGATTGGCCAATGTAGTGAAAATTCACTGTGGTCTTTTATTTCTATTATCAAATTCCCAGAACATAAATACATACCTGTTCCGCAACCAATTGTTCTTTCGTCAATTGTAATTGAGCTAGAGCAGCCTGAGTTTGTTGATTTTGTTGCTCCAACTGTTCCCTCATGAGCTGTAGCTCATGGTGAGCTGACAGGGCAGTACCAGCGGGTGGTAGGCTGCTGGTAGCACTTCCAGCACTGACAGTTTAAGTGTGTCACTATGAGGTGAGGAATACGTTTCCGCTAACGACTAGAAAACGAAAAATGATTGTCACAAAAATTAAGGAAATGAATATGCTATCAAATGAAATCTTCGTAAAAGAAACTTGTTTTATCGGTTAGTTAATTGTTTGACAATTCACTGAATTGCTATCACCTGACTTTGGTGAAACTTACACTTTTGAATGAAACATATTTCGGAAAAAGTTAAAAAAGATTTTGTTGAAGATTGAGTCAAAACGAAATCATAAGATTCCTTCGCCATTTTTTATGTCAGTTTCGTTCAAATGAAAAATTGGTGTTAAAAACTCTATAATTAACATTGTCATCTATTGTTTCATTGTATTAACGTCTCAAAAACTGAAATCTGCCGTAGAAAGAATTTAAAAAACTATATATCTAGCAGTTCACTTCGTTTCCTTCTGAGAATTATGGTGATTATAAGTTTTGATGCCGTCGTAAAAATTGTTCATTGATGTCAGTTTTGTTGTCAAACAGCAAAGATATCATCTACAAATGTACACTTTTAAATTGACTATTATTTGAAATGTTTTTGTCTTTGTACTTCTACATCTATACAAAAACAATACTGAACACCTGGTCTGCAAAGAAAATCTATCAAAAACTAATCTCTTGTAAATACATTCCTTTCAAACCCACAGCTATGCCCTTATTTTGTCGATATCAGTCAGTTCAAAATTGAAAGTAGTTTTTCTCTATAGGTACATAATATTAACAATTCCAATATAGAACTGATATCCATCTTCTTTTGGTGTTTTAGATTTGAATCAATTTCAAACCTAGACCTTGCAACATGTATAGAGTTATCAAATTTTGAAAAACAAGTAAGCAAAAACTTTGATTCAGTCCAAAATAAATATTTCCGTTCAGTAATGTACTTCACTGCCAAGAAAAGAATGATGTGAAGAATTGGTGCACCAATAGAAAACGTTTGAATTATTGAAGGCATACTCTGGTTAACTTNCTGCCAATTTCCCCATACGTAAATCAAGAGCGTGAATTTTTGCTTGAAATACGGTTGCATGAGTCTTTAAGTTTGTCTTCGGTACCAAACTTCATACACCTGTATTGAACCCTGAAGGTATTTTTGATTAATCTGTGAGCTAATATATTATGTTTTTTCCATTAATCAGCTATCGCACACCTGCGAACGACAACCCTCAGAAGTCGAAACTTGTGCGAGCTGAGGACTAACGAGGTCTCACCTTCTAACGTGTGATTCCTAACACGGGTTGGACGATAGCGTTCAGTCTGCAGCTTGAACCATCGACTCACACATCGGCCGATTGACTGAGTGAACAAAGCACCCATGTCGAACCACCTGTCTGCCGACCGACCTACCTACTCTTAATATTTCCTGCTTTCGAAAGATCCAATCATCTCTACTGGGGAACAGGACTGCATAAGATAGTTCGTAGTTGAGAGCTGGAGACAAAGAGTTGGAGGTTTTTAAAACTGTAAAAATGCCCAATTCTGAAAACCGTCCTCGACGCCTACTTCTTCATGAATATGTAGGGAAACGTGGTTGTTTGGCACAAATTATTCTTATCGAGTTTTCATTAAATAAATATATGTGATATAAATGTATTCATTTTTTGAAGATCTTCTCAAATGATTTGAAAATTTCTTACTGATAAGAGACGAAGAGAATTGGTTCTCCTATTAAAACTAATTTTTATCGGCTCAATAGAGTGTTGGAGAACTGTTGATGAATTCCCCTTCGTAGCATCAAATATCTGAACTTGTTAATCAAAATCTCGCACAAACTTTTATCCAATTCCCAGTTAATCAGAACTCCGATAAAAAGCTTTCAACTGACGTGCTTCAGTTCATAGTTCATTTATGAACTCATTCGAAAGCTGTCTGAAATCTGATAAAAAAACATTCTTGAGATAAAATGATATTTTTCTACAATCTACTTCTTAATAAGAGCTTCGAAAGTTAATGGATGTGACAAATGTAATCACTGGACGGAGTGGAAATTGTAATGACCTGGTTGAAAAGTTTAATTTATTATACCTGTAACAATAAAAGAGGAAATTTATAAAAAATTATTGTTGTATGTTGAGTGAGTTAAAAAACCATATATAATACTAGAAGTTTTTGTTTCGGACACATTCCAATATGAACCCGATTCACGTAGGCGTATAGTTCAACGCAATGCAAATTATGTATTGAGACGGACGTTCTTTGAAATATATTGTCTCATGAGAGAAGTGTGCGTTGGTTCATAAAAGATCATAATTTTTACAACGACCGTTTCAACTCATACCTTACATCGCATTGAATTTCACGACCATGTGCATCGGATCTTAGATTTCCCGTTAACATTTGTTTATTTTTCCATTGTGTTTTAAATAGTTTTATTTATTTATGTCTCAAAGAAATATTAGTTGTGATCTTTTCCATTCGAAAATATCTAAATTAGTCGTTTATATACAGTATGCAGTAATTCAGATACTACAAGTTCGTAATTTGGTGAGTTAACATCAAAACTACCAAAAGGTAATTAAAAACTTTCTTTGAAATTGATTGATATTAGCCTATAGTCAAACCTTTTTTTATTTTTTTGCATATCTGAAGATGAAGATTATTTCAATAAAAATTATCTAATTATTTGTGAGAAATTATGACATCTCCTATGAGGCTGGGAGCACGAAAATCGCGAAGACCGAGCGATGGCGACAGTCGTGCTGAAGTAGAGTTATGAGCAAAATGTCACGTCATCGTAACACAAGATCACATCGAAGAGAACTATTGGAGCCAAGTCTACTAATGATCACGTACTTATTATTACCTATAGAGATGGTTTTCATCCAATAAATGAAGAAAGAAGTAATCTTGGCGAATCTAACCTTCATTACGAGGTGAGGTAAACATTTTTACTGTCCCATAGCTGGTTTTGACAAAATACACGGGATAAACTCTTCATTATCAATTTCCATCTGATATTGGTATTCTAATATTTTTCTACACTACTGTAATCGCGAGCAACTTAATCACACTAGTTTGTTCTCGTCGCTTCCGCGGCGCGTCGCTCTCTTTCCGCCCGTGCATCGCTCGATCGCTACGCCTCGCCACCGCTCGTTTCGTGCGCGTCACCTATACTGTAGATGTTGTTTTATACATCGCCACCGTTCCGCCGTCGCATCGCTCCGCCATCACTCGGCCGTCGCCATTTTCTTCCTGTAGCCTGACATTTTGGGTAATTTATCAGTAACGTTTCCACAAATGGAAACGAGCATATAGCCTTTACTTATGTCAGTCATATTTTGTACAAGTAGCCGTCAATGAATTTTCAGTGAATATTTCTACCACTCATGCTGGTGTTATTCATGACCGACAATCCTGTTCTCGAAGTTATTATGCAACAATTTCTTTAGAAATAACATAATTTCTATATACCACACTTATCTCATCGTTCAACTCAGATTTTCAAATCATCTGTTTGCCAGCGGATAATTCTGCAGACAAAAAATGCACATCTTACAAAAAATAAAATCTAGATTGGTTCATTCTAAAGATGGGTGATATTTTTCTTGATTCGTTGAGAATAATAAAAATTTAGAAAAATATCTCTAATATCTCAATATCATCAGGAGAAAATGGACAAAGAAAAGACTTTTTTTAATGAAAAACTACTCGAATATGTCGAATGAAATATTTTTCAGTTCTTCGTCCATTTTGAATTCGGAAAATTCGCTGAGGAACAAAATGAAAATATATCACAGTACACATGTTAACCATGGTTATAAAACAATTTTCATACCTATATAAGTGCGAAGATTGTTCTGCTATCATGGGTACCTAGGGTTATTTTTCCATCAAGTAACAGGTCTGTGTATTGATGAAGTATATTAATGAAAACTTCGAATCATTCATCAATAATCAGAGAAAGAAGTAACTTTCAAAAATTACACCTCACGATTTGATCTCCACAAACTTTATTTGGAAAAATATCATCACAACATGTTTCGCTAGCACAGTAGCTTTTTCAAGTGTCTGAATGAAGAAGTAACTTATCAGCAAAGAACATCCCTGTAGTGAAATTTTGCTGTATCTGTTGAAATCTTGTAAATTGTTTTCTCAAGCATAACAATTGAAATGATATATCTAAGCTCTTCCTTCGGAGATGAAGAGATCACCCATTGAATTCCTGAAGTTGGTACAGAACTTGTGCGAACATTCACGTGGATTTGTAATTTCCCAGATAATACAACCCGGAATTAATTATCAATTATGTCAGAATTATCCCGCCTATAATTCTGGAACTTCCGACATTACTGGTCTTGTAACCCTTGTTCTAATTGGAAATGACGGTAATGGGAATAAGAGGAGAACTAACTCTTGGAAGATATCTAAAACCCCGAGAGTTGACGTTGAACTCTTGGATAATGCATTTAAGTTGATATCCTCAGTTCATCAATATGAATAAACCCTAAACTTCATTATATATTAGGTGATATCATCTTGTTCTTTCCTACGAGCTTGATGATAATATATTTTGAAAAAACTCCTTCAAAAACCCGAGGCTCTTCCATCATGTTTAACCGTATATGATGTGCCTGAAAGTCACAAAATAATATGCTAGTAAGACCTATCGAGAATACGACATGTTTGTCTACTTATGAGCTAGTGGCTAACGACCCTATAGTCTAGTTCACAATTCAAAATTCGCGTTTGACAGAGATAAAGCTATCGAAAATATAAATAGCAATAGCTACTTGGAATCAGGATGGCGTGTAGAAGAATGATACTAGATGGTTGATTTGTTTAGAAACAAATTGATATAAGAGAAAAAACGCGTTAAACACAATAATTCCAGCGCCGTTCTAACATTTCAATACCACATTTGTAGAAGGATTTATCTTTTGCCTCAAAATAAACTCTTCATTCGAGCGCAATTTCCCACCAGTGAACATTTTTTTGAGGTCTGCGAACAGCCAGTGTCGCTGGGAGCAATTCGAAGTTCAATTCATATAGTTTTTCCATTATTTTTTATTGGTTTGTGACACGGTACGTTGTCTTGATGAAACAAATTTTTGTTGTCTTTGCCATATGCGATCGTTTCTTTGCAATTTTGGCCTTCAAACGCTCCAATAACGTTATATAATATTCGAAGTTGATGTTATTTACCTTCTCAAAATAGTCGATGGATAATACACCACGCACATCCCAAAATACCGAGGCCATAACTTTTCCAGCTGATTGACGAGGTTCACCAGTTGCCCTCCATTCAGATGACGATCGTTTCGATTCCGGAGTGAAGTACCATATGGATCAATGTTTCGTCCATTGTCACATATCGACAAAAAAAATCCGGTTTTTTATGTTTAAACATGACCAAACACTGCTCGGAATCATCAAGACGTTCTTGTTTTTGGTCAACAGTAAGCTCGCGCGGCACCCACTTTGAGCAGAACCTTCTCATAGTCAAATGCTCATGCAATATAAAGCCAACACATGATATATTTACAATGTCAGCTAACTCACGCAACTTCACTTTTAGATCATTCAAAACGATTTTGTGGATTTTTTTCATGTTTTCTGGTGTTACTGTCTTATTTCGACGGCCACTGCGTTCTGCATCATCGCTGTCTACCTACGACCACGTAGAAAAGCTACGTTTCATTGTTATTTCCGAAGAAACGGAGTCCTTAAAATACTTTTCAAGCCATTGCTTCGCTTGAACCATATTTTTTCCCATCAAAAAGCAGTGTAAAAATCAAAACACAGAATTGTTTTGAACCGTTGTTATGGAATTAACAAAAGTAGTCTCACTCTTAGCGCAATAACTCACAAACTCATGAGTGGAATATCATGAAATTTCAACAGATTCGTTTAAAAGATTAGTTTCAACTGAAAAAACGGTGAATACAAGACTAGCGCCATCTATCTTAGGCCCGAGACTTTTCAATCCATTGATGATTAACAGTTATAGCAATTTATTTATAGAATTTTATTTTTTGATTTTTAGTATTTTTCATGAACAACAACGTTGTTCGATGATAAAATGTCTGACAAATTCTCTATCATAGATGTGTTTCAATAAATCAACTCGTGTTTTCTTTTTCACATGATATTTCAGTTTTTATTGTATCGATGTTTATATATAATTGAACTTTAGATGAATTATGATTCATGATGATTAATGAGTTATAGAAGTTTCAATCTGAGAGTTTTGCTGGTTATCAAAATCATATTTTTTTTTATTTCTGAATAAACAATAGCGGTACTTTGAAATAAAAGCTTCAGTCATTACAAAATATTTGAAGTGAAATCATAGCAAAATATAAAAATGTGAAGCAACTAAAAACGAAAATATATAAAATGGGAAACGAGTTAGATGAATATATTCTGAAACATTTATGTATAATTGAAGCTATATGGGATATGGATATAATTGAATAATACTTTGGCAGACATTTCAACACTTGATAAATTTGTCCCAGAACTGCATTACATTATTTTCATTATTCAATGTATCAACAATTAAAAAATGAAAATTGTATATATAATAGTTCAAAAGTTACATGAATTGGTTCCTCAACAAATCGAGTTGTCGTTATCGTGATATATTGATAAGTATTGTGAAAAATAAAAAAAAAATTTTTTTAGCTCTTTTGAATGGACTAACTACTACAGCAGGTCCCGGAAAGTAGAGTAATTCATTGATGGCACATTTCCAAAAATTGGTTTGGTCAAAGACAATATACCAGCTGACCAGCAAAGTATCGCTAGCAGACATCAGTGCCTTGTTTGCTCACTGTTTATCTTGACGTATTTCTAGTGGGACGGTATTTTTATGAACAAACGGAAATTTCTCTACGGAAAACTTGGTGGAATGTCTCGTAGAGCGAGCATGAAAACATATTGTTGACCGCGTTTCATTGATGACACATCCATGGTATAACAGCATAGTAAAAAGTAACTAACACATTTTTGATATATCCGAATTCCCGCAACCCATCAGGATCCCGATTCACAATTGAACGGGAAATCCAAGGAATCATCGCATTCTTAGATGTACTAGTAAAGATGGAACATTGGGTCATAAAGTGTTTGGGAAATCAACGCATACAGTCAGATATCCGAATGAGAAATCTAACCCCAGCCGCGACAAAAGAGATAAGAGTTTCTTCGGGAAACTCAGTGGCAAAATGATCCAGAAAAGAGAATGTCAAGGCAACTCCAAATGGGCATGTCATTGAAAAAACTTCTCTGCAAAATGTAGGTAATCGACATCATCATGAGAAGTACAATGTGAAATCGATTTTTTCGCTAATTTCGGATCTCTACCTCCCAAAACTCAAGAACTCAAGAGAAATTATCACTTGGCACATACCGACAAATCACCAGTAGCAAAACATACATTACAAAAGGGACCCACGTTATCGCATTCGAAAAGATACAATACCTCGTTCAAACACAGAATTACTATCCAAGACATTATAGGGAGGCGATAGAAATTCAGAAACACAGAAATAATCACAACCGAATAGAAGAGGTAATCACCATTATTGAAATCTGATTACTTTTACCCAATTGCTCTCGAATCAGGTGATCCAAATCAACCAAAAGTAATAAAACCAATTGAAACTATCCGAAAACCAAAACCTATTCTGTAGAATCATCCAGAACACTTCGTCTGTTGCCTAATCGCATTTGATGATGTCTACCACAAATGATAGTGTCTGAAAAATCATTTTCCATATCGGTTTACAACTGCAAGGTGCTTAGACAACCTTATCGATACGTTATCATATTCTTTTATTTGGAAGGTGAACTAAATTAGAGTGGAACAGATATTAGATAATTCAACTACTTTCCATGACCTTTTTTTTGAAATAAAAAAGAAACCTGATTTTACTTCATTTCTGAAATGATTTTGAATCCATGTGATGAAATATGCCGATATTTGATGGAAATCCATGATGTATTCAAGTGAGATTGTGCTTGTTAGATTTAGAATGTATGTTTTCATCATTCCCTCTGTATGCATATAAATTTTCTACTTAGTTTATGTGATATCTGATAATATTTTCAGTTGAATCAAGTTTGTTAGTGAGAAGATTTTTGATTTAGAAATGTCAAATAAAAAGAATGTATAAACGTCAGTAAAACTTTATTTGATAATAAAATCATACCCATCCCATATTCAAAAGTGCGATTTTCTCCAAACAGTTCACAGAACACAACATGTGTTTCACTTCTCCAGTCGTGTTTATACTCACTGGAGAATGTACAAACCTAAAGTGTAGTGATACACGTGTTTCAGTTTTGTGAACTAGTCAGTGGAAATCTAACAAAAAAGTGTAACTTGAATGAAACTTGAATTCTTTGATTGCAAAATTACATTATGTTGTATGCAACTGACCAATTAGTTGGATAGGATAGGATAGGTTAGGTAATGACTATCTGTGACAACATGATTCAATGATATTTGATCTGAGAGATCATTCACGTTGATGTCCTGAAGTAGTTTTTCACGATTCTATTCCATTTCAGGCGATGTAAGATATAGCTCTACTTTTCAAACCAATTTTTTCAAAAAATTCATCGAAATCTGACTCTCTCAATATAAAAGAACAACCTCAGATTACCTATTCATTGATAGGTTTATTCAAGTGAAATTATTTATACTGAGTGAACTGTATACATTGGCTTACCAGTGGAGCCTTTTTGGGGTTATTATTTGGTGGGGGCGGCAGTATATCTAGTTGAGGAGGTGGCCTATTATTCTTAACAGTTTCTACGTCCTTCAGGCTGCAGTCATCCGGAGGCAATGACATTCTGTCACTAGCACCTTCCGACATTATATCTGGAATAAAATAAAATCGTGTTTAGCACAAAATAATAACCAAACAGCAACGATCGAAATGTCATTTCGAGAGTGGAAAAAATCACACGTACATAAAAACTAGTGAGGAATCACACGACAATCGACAATTATTTTTCACGGAACAACTTGTTAGCAGTACGTTGAGGATGTTTGAGCTCCACAAGAACAATACGTAGGTACATCTTAAGCATCCCTTGTTCAGGTATTTCTTGTATTGGCATAGAACAAGATATTGAAATTGCATATAGAACAAGTGATACTGTGGGAAACCTAGTTAAAAATGATAAAGACGAAATATCCAAATTCGAAAAATCAGGAATTTATAAATTATCATGTGGCACTTGTCCTAAGGTGTATATTGGTCAAACTGGCAGAAAATTTAGCATTCGCATACAAGAACATCATATGACCTATGTGAATGAGGAAACAAGTTCAACATATTCAAATCGTATTTTAGAACAAAATCATACCTTTAACGAAGATTTTGAAATTTCACACATAGAAAAAAAAGGTTTAGAGCTCAATTATTTAAAATTAATTATCAAACTTAAACATTCAAATATTTTACTGAATGACCAATTGAATTTTGATAGATCACCATTACTGAAATGGTTTTCTTAGAAATCGACATTGTATTATTTATGTAGGCTTGATATAATAAATAGGCTTTAGGTAATCATAATTTGAGGATGTACCTACCTTAGGAATGAAAGTTGAGTAGATGCTTTGGGTAATTGTGATGGAAGAAATACCTATGTAGGTATCTCTCACTTGATGAGTGGGGTATATAAAAATGGAGTATATAGAATTAACTTGCAGTATGTCATTCACTACGAGAAAGCTAATGTGATAGCGAAACATGTGAAGTGATATATGTGATATATTTTTGAAAATAAAGTTTCTGAAGATAGAATCATGAGATGTAGTTAATGGAAAAACATCACTATGGAAAAAATTCAATATCAACGATTTGATACAAAAAATTACAATAAAATTTAATGAAAATATCCAATGGAGTGATATCAAATAGCCAGAGCAAAAAAGAATGATTGCTCTGAGATGAGATAAGAGCTTGGCGGGACGAAGCAGCTCTGTCTGGTGTTGAATCACGAATGTGTTATTTTTCGTCTCTGGCTTGAACTAGCTGATTTAATCCAGTCATTTTAGAGGATTTGCCTAGAAAAGTGGACATACCCAGCTGTGAATTTGTATTAACTTTGTATTTTGGCATCATAAAAATATTCTCAAAATTCACATATGATTCGACGGTCAAAAGTCAAAAAAAACGACTTTTTGCACGTTTGAAGAAATAAATTCTCTACAACTTTTGTTTCAAACATTTTTCCATACGTTGAATCGTTTTTGAGATAGAGGGTTGTACCGATCGAAATCAGCTCATTTGAGGTTTATAAATTATTACTTAATAAATAATTATGAA